TTATTATACATTATATATGTATATACATTAATACTATTTACAAATAAGTTCTTATTTTTCTTAAACATAGAACAGTAAATAGAGAAGTAAAGCAAATAATTATCTCTTCTAGTAATGACCTCTGTGCTCTTGTCGTAGGTTGCTAAGCCTTATGAAGTTTCTCACATGAAGGATATGAAAAGAAAATTTTTTTTAGGTTTTATATATAAATTTTAGAATACTAAAAATAATAATAAATTACTATATCAATAAAATTTTGAGCTCACTAAAGACTTACCTATCGTTTGAAATCTTGTGTGAAAAAGAATGAGATTAACACAATAACACATCAAAATGGCTGAGAAAACCACTAGAGGGACATTCTGAGCTTTCAATTGGTAATTGATGTCATATATAGAAGTGTATATATAAGGGAACATTTCCAAAAATGGTAAGAGGTGGACGGGGGGGGGGGACACACTGTGTTTGATTCATTACATGAGCGATATCTTAGTATATAGGAAAGATAAGAGGTTCTTATTTTATGTTCTAGCTTGTCAATATCGGTAGTTTGAGTTCCTAATTTGTACAAAACTATAGTCTTTGTATTTTGACATCACAAATATCTAATTTGAACCAGTGCTGCATTCAACATACCATGTGACACACAAAAATTAATGTTTAGCTGTTTTTTTTTTTAAAATATTACCTTATAAATTTAGAAATTAAGTGATGTATAATACTAAAATTTGAATTATAATCTACTATATGATACCAAACTTACTGATCAAAATTCATAAAATAGTAGTTAAATACAATATTGAATGCAAGGTAACAAACGAGATGACATGGCCTTTGACACATGATCCATCACGATAGGGTTACTCAGCTGTAGTGTAAGATTTAAACAAGGGCTAGACAAGAGGTGAGTACTATGATATTGGTAATATTCGAAATATAACTGACAGGAAAACGTAAAACAGGCATAAAACATGAACGTAATTTAAAATTATGATTAATTGTTACTATTGTAATGCTAGGAATATTAGAAATAAAATTGATTAGTTCAAAGCAGTTGTGTTGTGGAAACTAAGGATTTTGATATTATGGGTATCACTGAGACTTGGTTGGATTTGAACAATTTTGATGAAAGAATTTTTTTTTGAAATACCAGGCTACAGATTATTTACCAGTAATAGAGTATTGAAAAAAGGGGAAGAGTAGCTTTACATGTGAGAAGTGAATTGCATCCTGTTGAGTTAAGAGCATATAGCACTGAGGTTGAGTCAGTTTGGGTTAGTGTTAATGAATATAAAGGGAGAAGTCTTTTAATTGGGATTTGTTATAGTCTACCAGATCAGAATGTAGAAGTTAATGAGGAACTGTATAATTAGATCAGAATGGTAGCTGAAAAAGATAGTTACTATGGGAGATTTTAATTTCAGGGTTATTGATTGGGAAAATTTCGAGTCTGACAGTGAGGGTGATAGGTTTTGGAACTTGTTCAGGATACTTTTATACACCAACTGGTGATGAACTTGCAACAGAGGAAGCTATATTATATTTATATGTGAATATGACAGACAGAGTTGTGGTTGGTGAGCATAAGTACAAGCAAACATTGCACTATTAGGTTTGGGATTTTACTACATGTAAAATTAAGGTAGAATACTACCCTGATTCCAAATTTCAAGAAAACCAATTTTGATGGAATGAGACATGATCTGACTTCTGTAGATTGGACCAAAGAGTTGTGTGGGGAAGTGAACAGATGTGGGAAGCATTTAGGGAAAAATTTATATGCATACAGAACATACACAGTATGGTTTAGTAAAGGTTTAAGAGATTATATTAGGGATAAACATAATAAATTCAAGAAATTTAAACTTACTGGAAATAATAAGGACTTGGAGGACTATAGGAAATCAAGAGAGCTGGTTAAAAAGGAAGTTAAAAGGGCAAAAACTGTATATGAAAGAAGGTTGGCTGAGAGAGTTAAACCAAACAATGAGAAATTCTTTAGGTATCTGATGAGTAAGCAAAATGTCAGGATGGGGATTGGCTGTATTAAAAATTATAGTGTGGAGCTGATCTCAGAAGATAATGAGATGGTAAAGTTATTAAATTATATGTTCTCTTCAGTTTTTAAGAAGGAAGATACAAGTATTATGCCTGAACCAAAGCACATAATATATGGGGAAAATTCTGATGTAAAAGATATCATTTAAATTCTGAAATTGTAAGAGAAAAGTTGGAAAACCTAAAAATCGATAAATCCCCTGGACCAGACAAATTTTATCCTACAGTTTTAAAGGAACTTAGGGATTTTCTTTGTGAAATGCTAGCTAATATTTTTCATAGGTCATTGTGTAGTGGAAGAGTATTAGAAGGTTGGAAGTTGGCTAATGTTAGTCCAATATTTAAGGGAGGTGATACACGTTGTCCAGGCAATTATAGGCCAATTAGTTGTACATCAGTAGTTGGAAATGTTTTGGACAGCGTGATTAAAGATGCATTGCAGAGTCACTTAAAGCAGATTGAAAAATAAGTGCCAAAGAGCCAGCATAGTTTCACTAAGGTAAAGTCTTGTTTAACAAATCTTTTGACATTCTTTGAGGATGTTACTGCAAGAGTTCATGAAGGAAATACTGTGGATTTGGTTTACCTTGATTTTCAGAAAGCATTTGATAAGGTGCCTCACAAAAGACTTGTTACAAAAATTAAATATGTGGATGTGGGGGAAATGTTATTGAATTGGACAGAAAATTGGCTGGAGAGTAGAAAGCAGAGAGTAGTAATAAACAGTTAGATCTGACTGGATCACAGTTAAAAGCAGTGTGCCTCAGGGCTCTGTGCTGGGTCCACTGTTGTTTGTGATTTATATTAATGATATTGACTCTGGAATGACTAACAACATTTTGAAGTTTGCAGATGACATTAAGATTTTTGGGGTGGCTAACTGTATTAAAGATGCTGCAGACGTACAGGGAGATTTAGAACATTTGATGCATTGAGCCAATACATGACAGATGATGTTTAACTATTAAAAATGTAAGTTGATGCATGTAGGTTTTCACAATTCAAATTATTGTTACAATTTGAATGGGAATGCATTAAATACTGTGG